TGGACCCCCCATATGTCTCTCCTGCGATGAGGCTCTCACCGTCAAGCATATTCTGCTTGACTGTGTGGATTTTACATCTGCAAGGGACTCGCATTATCACGCAACCAATCTGAAAGATCTGTTCTCCAGCGTGAGCGCTCATCTGATACTAAACTACCTGAGGGAAGTCGATCTATATCATAAAATGTAACTGTGTAATGTCAATAACGAATGTACCTGCTTTTCAATTTAGTGCTATGACATTCTCATAAATTGTAACTGTGAAATGTAACAACCATAAATTGTAACTATGAAATGTAACGGACCGCCTGCCTTTGGATTTGATGCTATGACTTTTCTGCTTTTGAATGACAATGTAATCAATAAATGTCTTTGAAACAAAACTCATTCCGAGTATGTACTTACAATATTTACTAATGCAAACTTGTTCTCGTCACTATATGGCTGGAAAAATGCCGATGTGACGTAAAGCTCAACTCAACTCAACTCAACTCTAGACAAAGGTCGGGGCAGGGGTGGGGAGGGAGGGGCACACTGTTGAGAAAAAAAAAGGTTGGGTGCATGTTCATTTTCGCCCGACTTTCACTGGTCATTTAACAAAATTTCAGGACAAATAGGAGTGAACGTTTAGGGATAGAAAGTTGTTATGTCCATGAAATTTACGCCCGCTAAGAATAATTGACATAAAAAAGCTGTTGCGAATGTCAGAATACATCTGTTTAACTTCAATACAGAGGAGTTGAGTTGAGTTGAGTTGAGTTGGGCTTTACGTCACATCGGCATTATTCCAGCCATATAGTGACGAGAACAAGTCTGCATTAATATACATTGTAAGTACAGAGTGGTTTCGTTTCAAAGACATACATTCATTACGTTGTCATTTTAGAACAGAGAATGTCATAGCACTAAATTGAAAAGCAGGTACATTCGTTATTGACATTACACAGTTACATTTTATGATATAGATCGACTTCCCTCAGGTAGTTTAGTATCAGATGAGCACTCACGCTGGAGAACAGATCTTTCAGATTGGTTGCGTGATAATCACTCACCCTTGGAGATGTAAAATCCACACAGTCAAGCAGAATATGCTTGACGGTGAGAACTTCATCGCAGGAGAGACATATGGGAGTCCATCCCCATCCGTTTTAGCAGATAGTCATGTGTAAACCGACTGTGGCCAATACGATATTGTCGTAAAATTACCTCATCGCGTCTTTACTAGCAACCCAAGTAGGTATAACCGATTGTTGGCTTCAATTCATGGAGTTTGTTTCTTCCTACTTGAGTGTCCCACCTTTTGCATCACGTCCCGAGTATAGCTTTTGATAGTGGGTTTGAAATCACTGAACAGGATTAGCAGTGGAGATAGGAGCTGCTTTGCTGCAGCATCGCCCTTAGTTTACTTGTTATGCCGACGTGACCCGGCAACCAGCAGAGGATGATGTCATATTGGCTAGTGGAAAGGTCGTTGTACAGTTCTAATATGTCGAGGATGATTGGGTGACTTGAAGTCACATTTAGAAGTGCTTGAAGGCAGGATAATGAATCTGTAAATACGATGACGTTTTGGACTGATTTTGCTGTTGAATGTAGGTCAGAGCTGAGAAGATATCTTTGGCTTCGGCGGTGAAAATGGAACTGTTGTCAGGGATCCTAGAGGAGACAGTCTTGGCTCCAATGACTGTAGCGCTGGCAACTTGGCCATCGTCCTTGGATCCGTCTGTGAAGATGGATCTGTGAGTGTTATATTTAGAACGTAACTGGTTGTATTCCTGTTGGAACACCAAAGGATTTGTTTCAGACTTTTTGAGTTTGGTGAGGGTAAGATCGACTTGTGGTTTCACCATTTGCCATGGTGGTGAGGACAGAAGTCGGTAAGGCGCAATGATGTTGAGATCAATTTTAGCTGCAGATATGTGTGGTTTGATCCTGATTCCAAGTGGTGGAACCAGGCTTGGCAGTTTAGGAAATAAGTTTTCATAGAGCGGGTTGAAAACACAATTGTATGCTGGATTGGACTCATTTGAACGTAATTTAGTGATATACTGCAGTGAGAGTTTAATGCGGCGTTGTTCAAGGGAAGGTTCATTGGCCTCTGCATATAGACTGTCTACCGGAGAGGTCCTAAAAGCTCCCAGGCAGAGCCTCAGTCCTTGGTGGTGGATAGAGTCTAATTTTTCTAAATTGCTTTTGCAGGTTCCACCGTAGACAATGAAGCCATAATCTAGTTTACTGGCGGACTAATGATCTGTACAAGTGAAGGGGGTGGTCTGATCTAAAGCCTTCAAGCACTTTGTTTTCAAATATTTTATGTGTGGTAAGAATGTCAGGTGGCGGTCGAATATGAGTCCAAGGAATTTGGCCTCTTCTACTACTTTGATGGGAGTACCATCTAAAGTTAGGTCTGGATCCTTGTGTGGTTTGTATTTACGACAAAAGTGAATACAATTCGTTTTGGATTTTGAAAACTTAAAACCATTTTCATTGGCCCATTTTTGGATTTTGTTAAGGCAGAGTTGTAGCTGCCTTTCTATTGCATGCATGTTCTTACCACGACATGAGATATTGAAGTCATCCACGAAAAGGGACCCATCAACGCAACTGTTCAGGACGTTAGTGAGGCTGTTAATTTTGATGCTAAAAGTGTGACAGACAGGATGCTGCCTTTGGGGACGCCCCTGATCTTGGTGGAAATAGTCAGACAGTGTGGAACCCACCCGAACTTGAAATTGTCTGTTATTTAAAACCGAGATATGAATTGAGGTAATCTACCCCTCAATCCAAACTCGTGTAAATCTTTTAGGATACCATGTTTCCATGTTGTATCATATGCTTTTCTAAGTCGAAAAAGATAGATACTGCATGTTGTTTGTTGACAGTGGAGTTTTTGATAAATGATTCCAGACACACCAGATGGTCAGTGGTACTTCGGTTTTTCGGAAACCACATTGGAGGTCACTGAGGAGGTTATTGGTCTCCAAGTACCAGATTAATCAATTGTTGACAATGCGCTCCATGGTTTTGCAAACACAGCTAGTTAGTGATATAGGACGGTAGTTTGAGGAATCAGTATGGTCGCGACCTGGTTTTGGTATAGGGATGATGATGGCATTGTGCGCACCTCCAACCTCCAAACCTACCCCACCCCACCCACCCCACTATGGTTATAATAAAACAAGTCAAATAGTTATAGCATTTAAAATGTAACGCCATGTTCTAATCATCTTTTGCTTCGATTTGAATTATATTAGTACATCTTAAACATACACGAATTCTTTTTGTTCACACGCCAGTGCCGCCAGGAACATGGGGAAGTGTAAGTGTAGAATAAAACGTTTCTTAGTAATGAATTATACTTGAATAAATAGTTCAATCCAAACAAAATAGTGTAAAGTATGGAATGCATTTTTGAATAGGAATATATGGAATATACTCATCTTGCACTAAATAAACCAACTGCTGTGCCACCCTTCAAACATTACTTAAATTGACAGTTTGTAAACAGTTCGGGAGTCACTTTCCCTCCCTCCCAATTTCTTACACTCTCTCTCTTCCCCGATGAAAGATAAGGCTAGTGGCAGACAGAGACAGAGGGAGGCAATCGCCTGTCTCACAGTCCCTTAACCATTTTATTGTAGGGTCAGGGTCAGGGTTAGGGTTAGGGTCAGGGTTAGGGTCAGGGTTAGGGTTAGGGTTAGGGTTAGGATATAGGCTGCCATGCGAAGATGCCACTGGTGGCATTAAGGGGACATAACTCTTTCCGAAAAACATCAAAGGGCGATAGCTGATGATGGCGTGAATTGCTTTTCTAGAGTTTTCCAAGTTGGCCATTGTGTGTGGGAGCGTGGGAAGTGTGGCTGGCTTCATTTCAGTGTGTGTTCACGAATTTACAATTGCAGACTCTAATTACTGAGGCCAAGTAATGTTGGAAAAGACTCTTCTGTGAATCATCTTGTTTGACTGTTCTACCACAGCATTATGGATTACAGACAGATTTTGTTGAAGCAGCAATTATGGCTTGCTTCCTTTGTGTGTTTGCTCACGATTTACAATTGTACACTCTCATCACTGAAGCTAAGGAATGTAGGAAAAATGTCTTCTGTGGATTATTCTTGTTTTACTGTTTTACCACAGCGTAATGGATTACAGACATGATTTTGTTGAAGCAGCAAGGATGGCTGGTTTCCTGTGAGAATTTACATTTGCAGGTATGTCAATGTGTTTTAGTAATGCCCTGTGTTTATTGAAGTTAAACAGATGTATTCCTACATTCGCAAACATCATTTGTATGTCAATTACTCTTAGTGGGCGTAAATCTCACGGTCAGAAACTGAACATAACAACTTTCTATCCCTAATCGTTCACTTGCAGGACAATGTTGTTACTCTAATACCAATTGCCACATGCCCTAGGTGTATGCTGTCATTGTACATGTTTTGCAAATTTCAATGGTTGTAACATAATTCTAGATAAAATAATTGATGAAGACTCCTAGTTCAAATGATCTTCTGAGATACAATATGCTCAATATACTACTGCCATGCTGTTTCATATTAGATTCATGTGACAGAGTGTTTAAGGTTTATCTTTCCCTAAATACTTAAGGTACTGGGGACATTCCTTTACATGGGCTAGTGTTTGGGGAGAAAGCTATAAATACTTGTGGTCTGGGGTTTGCTTAAGGCACCTCAGTACAAAGGTCGCCCGAGCATTGGTCCAGAGTGACAGATCTACTGATAAGAGAGAGGGAGCGAGCGTGAGAACTGTGTGGGTGTGAGAGCATACAAACAGATAAGCTAAACTGAGGGTGCTCCATGTGCTTCATCACACAGAACATTTCAGAAAACAGAATTAACTGGATACACTCTTGTGGTATTATGTTGTTAGAGCAACCCCACTTGGTCACATTCACAAATAACTGCCAAGCATGTCCCCAAGTGTAAATATTCCCCACATTCCTCCTATTATTATTTATTGCTAAATGATAAACGCTTACGATAGCATCATTATTGTTTACAGACTATCATCACTGAAACCAAGGAATGTTGGAAAAGCCTCTTCTGTGGATTATTCTTGGGTAACTGTACTACCACAGCATAATGGATTACAGGCAGGATTTTGTTGAAACAGCAAAGGAAAATGGAAGTAACTTTTTGAACATTTTCCATCAATACAGTGATGTAGAAGAATTTTTGCATAGGGAAGAATACATTTCAGTCCGCAGTGTTGGGTTAAGTGTCACTGAACAAAATGTGTTTCTCAACTTTGCTCCTGACGTTGATGGTGTTGTAGTAGAATGGAATGATGTCTCTTGTATATCTCATAATGTGAGGAAATTATACTTGGCTCCATTTGACATGTTGAGTATAAAGCCAGTAAGCTCAATGTTAAAGAAACATATGTGTTTGCCCCAATTTTCATCAGAACAATTGCAATCATTTCATCATTGTTGTGGAAGTCAGCTTATGTATGAGAATGGATGGGAATACTGGTTGGCATTAGTACCCGACTCTGACCACAGGCAATCCATCATTCATGATTTCCAGTGGATGTCTACTATAACATACAAGGTGTTGCAATGTGTTAAAAAAGACCTTAGAAAGAGGTTACTTAGCGCTTCATCAACAGGAATAGCACTGAACACTTGCCAGAAATATAACTTTAGTGACTTGAGAACCCTTACCATATTGCCTGATGACAAAAAACATGTTTTGGAAATTTTGCAAAATTGTATAAACTCTGTACAACCCATCCCAGGTTTCAAAAAGCTTATATTCAGTTTTCGCTTTGGTGAGAAATCAAGTGTAGGATTCACCATTCCCACTACTTCACCTTCAGCTATAACAAGAATAACTGCACATATTGGCGTCAACATTTGTCCCAATACAGGAATCGACATCTTGTGGTCAAGAACAGGATTACAGGGTTAGGTTTGTGACAGGGGCACAATTACAAGTGCACTGTCCTTTTATGAAAGTGCCAACTTTCAGTCCAACCTTGATGGACGGCATATGGATATCGAAGGAGAGCTAAGGAAAGTTTGCCTCCAGCCCCAGAGTGTGCAATTTGTACAAATGTATACAGATTCACCTCATTTAAGAACGAAGGCTCGATCACACCCAGTCTCCGGTGCAATTGCCATCAACAAGTCTGTTAACCACAGCACAAGGCAATCCTTTCACAAGGATTCTGATGCCTATTTGAAAGTCATTGAAAGTAATACATCCTTATTTCATTGTCTTGTAGGCAGACTTGAATTCGTTGCATCTATTCCAAATGATACGGAAAATGTAAGACCTGCAGATTACCTTATATTTCCCATTTAAGTCATCTTCTGGAGCATCACTCAATAATCACCCCGTTCTTCCTCCCAGATACGCTTGCTTACTACATTAAACAGATGGGACTACATCTTACTGGATCTCGGCGTGGTCTGTTACAGCTGTACAAGAATACAGGCAACTGTATGGCTACATGGAAGGCTTTTCAAACTGAACTCGCCATAGGGAAACTGTTATGGGGGCATCCATTTTGCTTCCGATCTGCACAGCTTTCAGTCAATCTTGGGTTGGGACTAGGCCATCCCACAAGAAGTAAAACAGATGCTTTAGGCTTTTTAGCTCTGGAACCACCAACATCATGCATGCATGCCGAGTCATCGTGCCCTACCCCGTCTATCTGGACAACAAGCTCCGTCATCCAAAGACAGATCATCAAGTGTTTTGGTTTTCATGACTATCTCATTGGCAGCCCCATTGTGCTTGGAAGACGAGCTGTAGAAATTTTACTCAAAGATCTGTATGATATGAGCAACAAATTTTGCATGCGACAAGAAGAGTTTGTACACAGGCTTCAGGGTCATTCCACAATACCGCCAGTGTGTGGTACTGTTACTGTAAATCAGATCATCCACAAAATAACCCAGGTCAAGTCCATGAAATTTCCAATGGTATGGCCATCAGTGTTGGAACTTTTGAGCAGCAATCCACAATTGGAAGTCAACGAGCTTCTAAAGAATGGCTTATCAGAATTGCAAATTTTGTACTTCCCTGCCATACGACTATAGGACGCACAGAGGAATGCACGTCTTATCTGGCAAGACACATTTGGGTATTTGAGTGTTTCCAATAATGTCGTTCAAGGAACCACCACTGAACACAGAGCAACAGTACTCTGTCAGCTCATTGTGCAAGAGATTGAATCAAGACACTTACTACACACAAGCCTTTTCAAGAATGCTATTTGGTCTGAGTCCTTTCCTTGGGTATCTCCATGCTTACATAAGCTTGGGCATTGTAACCTTAATGAAGAGAAACTAATAACTGTGTTGACTTTCATCACATGTGTTGCTCTACTGCAGGAGGGCTGGTATGTTAACTACTACCAGTTGCGAAAACTTGAGAAAGATATACCTATAGTACAACATCGTCTCAGGGCTATGGAGATACAGTCTAAGTTCTTACTTCCTCGCTTCAATCTATTTCACCTCAGGAGACTGCACCACAGTATTCCTACACGATTTCATCTCCCCAAGCCTGCATCAACATCAGTATCTTCTGCACACGCCTTTCAGGCTGTGGCACCTACAGAGGACTGTAATTGTGAAGATATCATTCCACCATCCGAAGAACCAACGAGCAAAGAAGATGTTCAGCGAGTAGAAGTAAGACACATACCGGCTGATGGCAAAGTTCGTTGGTCTTCGAATGAACTCAGTCTACTGCATGGCTTGAAAGCCGATGACAAACTGTCAATGGCGAAACATAGCTACTGTCTCTATAAAGAGCAATGCAGGATCGAGGATATCCCAGACAGAAGCTATGAAGCCTTTAAGCAAAAAGTTTCCAGGTTACTGAAACCTATAAGCAAATGAACTCTGTTTTGCATGTCTGCTGATGTTTCACAATGCATTACAATTTGGGTGTAACCTAGGGTCTCACAAAAAACCTCAACCAAGAACCTAACCGTCATCTTTGGGTCTAACCCAGGGTCTTACCAAAAACCCTAACTGACATCTTTGGGTCTAACCCTAGACCATAGGTTAGACCCAAAACTGAGTTAGGTTTTGGAGTTACGTTTGTGGTCAGATCCTAGGTTAGACCCCAACCTCACAGTTAGCTTTTGGGGTTAGGTTTGTGGTCAGATCTTATGTTAGACCCAAACCTGACAGTTAGGTTTTGGGGTTTGGTTTGGGGTCAGGCCCTATGTTAGACCCAAAATTGACAGTTAGGTTTTGGGGTTAGGTTTGTGGTCAGACCCTAGGTTAGACCCCAACCTCACAGTTAGCTTTTGGGGTTAGGTTTGTGGTCAGATCTTATGTTAGACCCAAACCTGACAGTTAGGTTTTGGGGTTTGGTTTGGGGTCAGACCCTATGTTAGACCCAAAATTGACAGTTAGGTTTTGGAGTTAGGTTTGTGGTCAGACCCTAGGTTAGACCCAAAACTGACAGTTAGGTTTTGGGGTTAGGTTTGGGGTCAGATCTTATGTTAGACCCAAACCTGACAGTTAGGTTTTGGGGTTTGGTTTGGGGTCAGACCCTATCGAGGGGTTAGAGCCAGAACCACTTATAACCACACAGGCACATTTCGAGAAACAGCACTCAAATGTTTGGACAGTTATAAAAAAAATAATAATCAATTATTGTTTACTGTTTTGTGACAAGTTGACAGAGTATGCTGGTGCATTCATGTTACTATACAACCATAAATATAATCAGCCTAATTAAATAGGTATGACGAAAATAAATTCTAGCTTGTTCTGGCGTAAATGTAAAACACTCGGGGCTCTGTAAACATGAGAGCGAGAACCAGTTAAATTAGAAACACAGTGTATGGCAGTTAAGAATATGTTGAGAATATGTCTGTCCCCGAGTCAAGAATCCGGTTATCTTTAAACAGGGGATTGTGGCATAGTTTGCGGCTACGATTTCCCTGTGTCGCAGTTTCCACTAACTCGGGGAGCATTATCTTTGCCCCAACAATTGTATCAATGCGGAAGCCAACTAAAAGCAATGACCCCTGATCTCAAGATCACCCATATCATCACAGCCGCCAACCACTGTTTCCTTTAAGCCCTGTAACCATATCCTGCGGTAAAGCTGTTTAGGCAGTATCCCACATTCTCAGCTGGTGGCTGGAACCATTAACCAGCAGTAACTGCCTTTCTGTTATTGAATGCATTTTACTTATAGCTCGCCTTAAATAGTGCTTGTGACATTTTATCTTCACATGTTGTTATCACTGAAGACATCAGTAATTGCTTAAACCACCTTCAAGACTTTCTTTTAGACTTTTCCGTTAGATGACAACAACGTCTCAATACTTTTAACATAGTTCCACAATGCATCATTACCGTGTACTTCTTTATTGAAGAATAAAACCAATTACTATAAGACATTGTAAGTGTTTCAGTATTTTTAACTATTTCAATATTATATTACATGTAAACAGAAATTCATAAACAGTATAGTTTCAAATTACTGAATAGAAGAAAATCAAGCACAGTCACAAACATACACATAATACGCAACCACAGATAAGCTCATTGCATATTAAGTCAAATTAGGGATAAATGTAACGATCTGAGTAATAATTTAAGCCGCTTGGTATATAAAGTATCTTACCCGAGTGTCTTTTGATATCAAATATATCACCACGAGTTGATAAAGTAACAAATGTCCGAGGCTTGCCGATATTTTACTTTGATCAACGAGTGTTTATATATTGATATCAGAAAAGACACGAGGGTGAGATTCTATATTATCATCAAAAATCACTCTTCCTTAGCTTTCAATGAAAATGTACATCTCTGAACACAGTACTGCCATTGAACTCGCAGTGCAGCGATGTCATAGCAATGTGACGTCATCAAGTTCATGACGTCATATCATTGTCAGGGCATTGTGCAAAATTTACTCTCAAAACGATATGTCCTAGGAGATATCGTCTGATCTCACACAAGCAATGTCTCCTGTGGAACACAGTTTTGGCTGATAAAACTTAATAGAACTATGACACTAGACTATGACATAGATGAAGGCTAAAGACTTTTGATACTAAAAATTAAGTCTGTTATAAGTGAATCAAGATTTCATCACACAGATTAGATAGAACACTGAATAATCACATTAGGTATTTGATGACATAGATATGTCATGTTAGATATGTGACATGTTAGATATAATAATGAGTCGTATTTCCTTTCGTTAATGATTTGATGACGTCTCAAAATGTAAATGTCATTTTTTGAATTGAGAATTAATATTGATATCCACCTCTTAACACTATTTCATACTCTTTAAAGGTCACATGCAACGTAAAACACAACTTTGCAGATTCTGATACCTTTCGGTATGGACTTACCGAAACAAATCGTCAAAAATGCAAATTCAACTTATAAAGTTGAAAAATAACGCGCGAAATCGGAGTTCAAATGTTTCACTAATTTTCCCCCGACTTTTCTGGGGAAAACGGGTTTCAACAGCTGGGCTGCGCTCATAGCACGTGCGTGAGTGAGTGAGTTAAGATTTTAAGTCACATCGGCAATATTTCAGCCATATCGTGACTAAAGCAAGTTATAAATATATCAACAATTTAAGTGAAATTATAAAATTCTGCCAACGAAGGACAGTAAAATAACTAGATTATCACAGATATAGATATAAAACTAGTAACTAAATCTAAAACATTTGAACTATACAAGACGATACAATATAAAAACAGGCTATTGATCGCCAACAACTGAAGGTAGATCACCATACTAGGGACCATGGGGACTTACAGTACATTTGCTTCCTGCATGGACCCTAGCTGGATTTACACCATCCCTTCAGCCATTGGCGACAGAAGAGAAACCTAGCCATAAATTAAAAGTACACATATTCTACGATTAAAAACCTGGTACACTTAAATTGACTAAATGTTTTGGGACTTACATACCCTCTCAGGAGGACAATAATTTTACGCTACTTCAACCCCCTTTGAGGGTACAGCCACTAACAATATCAGTTACTAATTTAAACTACCAATAATAAAATATATATCTATTTACAAATCAGTGAGCAAGTCTAATTTTTTTAAAAAGCAATAATTAAATGAGAACTTGTATGACTAAAAAGATCCTTCATAGTTTTTACTTTGAAATAAATATCCCTTGTGATGGAATATTCAACACAGTCAAGCAAGACATGCTTGACCGTGATTCGTTCATCACAAAGGGATACAAAACTGGAGGATCCTCACCTTTCAATAGGTACTCATGCGTATATCTTGTGTGGCCAATACGACATCGTCGTATGATGACCTCTTCAAATCTGGACTGACAACCCAAGTAAGTGTAACCGATATAGGGTTTTATTGCATGTAATTTATTAATACCTACTTGGGTGTCCCACTTCTTTTGCATCAGATCACGGATGTAAGATCTAATACAAGCTTTGTAGTCAGAGTATGGGAGCAGAAGTGGTATCACAGATTTGTTGAGTGCAGCCTTAGCAGCAATATCAGCCATTGTGTTCCCAGAAATGCCAACGTGGCTGGGTAACCAACAAAAGACGATGTCGCATTGGCCAGTAGCAAGTTCATTGTACAATTCAATAATTTCTAATAAAAGTGGATGTTTGCAAGAAATATTTTTAATAGCCTGAAGACACGAAAGAGAATCTGAAAAGATGATATATTGTTTATATTTACGGTGTTTATTAATATATTTAAGAGCTGTTAAGATGGCGTTTGCTTCTGCTGTAAATATAGAGCTGTTATCCGGTATTCTAGAAGATATTGTTCTGGATCCAATGACAGTGGCACATGCCACTGCGCCACCATCCTTGGACCCATCTGTAAATAAGGATTTGTATGTATTATATTTATTTCTTAATTGACTAAATTCTTGTTTATACTGTAATTCATTTGTTTCTGATTTTTTAAATGTAGTTAATGTTAGGTCAACTTGTGGCCTAACCAATTGCCAAGGCGGAGAAGAAAGAAAACGGGAAGGAGCTATATGTTCTAGCTCAATGCCAGCAGCAGAAAGGAAAGGTTTCACTCTTATACCAAGAGGCGGAACAAGAGAAGGCTTCTTGTTATAGAGATCTTCATAGAGTGGATTAAAGACACAGGTATATGCAGGGTTTGACTCATTGGAATAAAGTTTTGTAATATACTGTAAAGTTAATTTTATACGGCGTTGTGTAAGAGATGGCTCATCAGCCTCGACGTAGAGACTGTCAACAGGAGAAGTTCGAAAGGACCCAAGACAAAGTCTCAGACCTTGGTGGTGGATAGAATCTAATAGTTTTAAGTTGCTTTTACAGGCTCCACCATATACGATGGAGCCATAATCAAGCTTCGAGCGGACGAGGGATCTATACAGGTGTAGGAGGGTAGTTTGGTCCCCTCCCCACTTTGAATTAGAAACGACTTTCAATAAATCGAGTGCCTTCAGGCATTTAGTTTTTAGGGATTTGATATGCGGAAGGAAAGTCAAATGGGAGTCGAAAAGTAGACCCAAGAACTTGGCCTCCTTGACAACTTTAATGGGAATACCATTTAAAAATAATTCTGGGTCCTTATGGGGCTTATATTTCCTACAAAAGTGTATGCAATTAGTTTTTGACTTAGAAAATTTAAAGCCATTTTCAAGACACCATTTATTTATTTTATTTAAACACAACTGCAGTTGTCGTTCAATAGTGTGCATATTTTTACCGCGACAAGAGATATTAAAATCATCCACAAATAATGATCCATCAATTGAATCATTTAAAACTTTTGATAAACTATTTATCTTTATACTAAACAAGGTGACAGACAAAATACTGCCTTGCGGCACACCCTGATCCTGATTGTAATGGTCAGACAGGGTTGAACCCACTC